CTAGCAAAAAAAATAATGTTCTAGTCTGCAAACACGGTAAAAAAATATTTTATCCAAAGTAAACAATAGGCTATTGGCAACTTCCGTCATTTTCAACCTACCTTTATCGTTTCATTGGGACTTTTGTGGCGCTCAACTTTTTCACAAGGAAATGTTTCTTGGAGACTCACTAAGCATTTAGCAAACTAACCTTGGTCATAAAGAGCTAAAATCCAAGCAATAATTAAGTGGTTCTATAAAGGATTACAACAGAATACACAAGTCATCGAATTCTCGTCAGTTCGAAGCAATACATCATTTATAGTTTCTTCGAGCTTCAAAATTCCTGTATTTCGTGACAGAATTACCTGTAAGCTGTTATTTAACATGAATGCTGAACTTTTGAAGGCTACAAAGTAAAAAAATGTGCTTACTTTGAGAATATTTGAAAGAAAGAATTCTTGATCTAAAGTTGTTGTTCTCATTTTCAACCGCTGACCGGAAAATTGGAAAAATGAATGAGACAGATGTTGTGGTGACCAGACATCTTCAAACATTCGGTATTAGCAAATGTACTCACTTAGTCAATGAATCCGATTTATTACTCTGCCGCGCAGGTAAGTATAATTACAGGTATTTCATGTTCAGCCATTTGTTAATGACTTCAATTTGTGTTATGCCATTTATCGACCTTATTCTTTTCTACAATATAATTAAAGGGGGACCAGCACGAAAATCATCCAAATTTTAATTCTGCTGAAACCTTTACTGGAATAACCCTTACAGGTCTAATAATCACTGGTTAAAGTTTTTTTCTGATATTTGGGTGGGAAGTATTATATTTTATTACCAATTTTTATAGGAGTCTGTGACGTCATACACTCAACACTAAACATTGCTCCATACATTTCTTTGTATTTTGTAATCAAAATTTCCGCTAGTTTTATACTCAGTCTAACCACAAGTTCGAAAGTTAAGTTTTCAGCGGACCTTTGTGTTTAATAAAAAAAGAGTAAAACACGAAATTATTTACAAAGAAATGTATGGAGCGATGTTTGGTGTTGAGTGTATGACGTCACAGACACCTATAAAATTCATAAAAATATAATACTTCCCATTGGAATATAAAAAATAATAATTTAACCAGTGATTATTAAACCGTTAAAGATTATTCGATTGAAGTTTTAGTCAAATTAAATTTCGGAGGATTTTCATGTTAGTCCCMCTTTAAAGTTAATAATTTAGTTTCGAATTTCTATTTTGACAAGTTTATGTAAAAAATAGAGTTGTAGGAACGGAGTTTCTAGTAGCGGAAGAGGGGGTATATCTTGTGATAAAGTATTAAAAAAACAACAACAAGTTATTCGAAGCATGCACGCCGACTACCTTGACGATCTTTCACTTCTGTTTTCACTGCGCTCTTGTCAAGAATTTATTCTTCGCATGCTGGTATATAATTGCCGTGCAAGTCAGGGGCGGATCCAGGATTTTTTCTATTGGGGGAGACACCATCCATGATTTTCGTTTTAGGAGGGGGTGCACCCTTTGCTTACAAACTCAAACCCCAATAATGCAGTAGATAACAGCTCATCTAGGGATCTAGGGGGAAGGGGAACAAAATCCCCATGCACCCCTCCCCTAGATCTGCCGTTGCAAGTTAACCCCGCAACAGGAGTTTTTGACAATCATATCACTAGAAGATTTTAATAAATTTGTATATGCAACCACCATCGTGATAAGCTTGGCATTTACTGGAGAGGATGTCTCTCGAATTGTCAGGTCCAATCAGAGAAAATCATCAGTTTCCAAACTTCCGGTCAGCGAATTGTACACATATAAGATTGAATGTTGTAATATGTGAGTTAAAATGGGCCATATTTGGCTGAACATGAAATATCTGTAATTATACTTACCTGCGCGGCAGAGTAATAAATCGGATTCATTGACTAAGTGAGTACATTTGCTAATACCGAATGTTTGAAGATGTCTGGTCACCACAACATCTGTCTCATTCATTTTTCCAATTTTCCGGTCAGCGGTTGAAAATGAGAACAACAACTTTAGATCAAGAATTCTTTCTTTCAAATATTCTCAAAGTAAGCACATTTTTTTACTTTGTAGCCTTCAAAAGTTCAGCATTCATGTTAAATAACAGCTTACAGGTAATATTGTCACGAAATACAGGAATTTTGAAGCTCGAAGAAACTATAAATGATGTATTGCTTCGAACTGACGAGAATTCGATGACTTGTGTATTCTGTTGTAATCCTTTATAGAACCACTTAATTATTGCTTGGATTTTAGCTCTTTA